TAAAACGCACAGTGAACCCAGTTTGGAAAGTGTTTCACGTTGGTATGCAGGCCCTGTGCGGAGGGGATAAGAAGAGGTCAGTTGTGCGTTTGTTGAACTACTGGAAAACACCGCCTACTTGGGCCTTAGATTTATTGCTCCGTTGAAACTGCATTTTCTAAACTAAAAGAAGTTGGAGCAATAGCACCTGGCCGGGCAAAGGTATATCACTCAGCTCCGTTTATTTCGTTAAAAAGGAGGCTATAAGCACCAGCGTAGGAAAAGCGGTAGCGATAATCGTGCACATATTCGGGAGTGGACGAGTTGCCCTGTGGAAGATATACGAGTCACTGCCCACAAGTCTCCTACCTAATTGTCAGCTCACGTTCATTGATTAATGGGGACCCTCTCTTTTCGTGAGTTTTACTGCTGAAAGGTGATCACCCGAAATTGTACGCTTTCATTCACCACTGCATAGGAACTGTTCCTGTGATTTTGCTCTCACAAGAGTTTCCAAGAAAGGTTCTCACCTATAGGGACTCGCCCTTAAAATATTATAGAAAAACGCTATAAGGTGAATTAGGTGGGAAAATGAAAAAGAAGATTAAAAGTCGAGGAAATTTATGAGCTCGTATTTGTCACTTGAATTTCAGGCAATTCGTCATCGAGTGTTGGGATCACGATTTCCGTGGCAGGTATTCCTATCCAGCCCTACTATACTTCCACGATAGAAGAAAATTTAGAACTTAAAACTTTGAAATTCATTTAAGTCAGTAGCTACGAACAAAACAACTAGAAATCACTTTTAAAAAAGAGCAACCAGGGCGACTAGAATGCGAATGAGCAAATCTGGCCAAGTGCCAAGAAGTTGCTGTCTTTTATCTTTGCTTTTTCTTATTCGTTTTCTCTGGTTTTTTCTTCTTTTTTTTTCTAGGCATCACTATATCGGTGAGTGCAGTATCTCCATTGAGGAGATCATAGCCAAACGAGCAGACCCGGTTCCGGTAGGTGTAAAGTAATTTTGGCAAGATTTTTGCTTATATGACTAGTTTCAGTTGATCAATGAGCATCACCTGAAGAAAGGTTCATGCTTTGGAAACTACGAGAACTCTGGCACCTTACACTTTCTTCATTTCCAAATAGTAAAACGTTTCACGTTCCTGGATTTCATACAGGCTGGGTTTGTACTTTTTTTTGAAAATGGACGCTCAAGTTTTCGGCGCCGATCGATCTATTTTTGAATGCGCCGTGCACTCTCTTCTTTTCAAATTCATTTTCATACAAATTTTGCCTACACAACGACTTAAGGAGACCTGTTGTTGAAAAGAGTGTGTTCGGTCCACACAAACAGCATGGTATCGATAAGTTACATTGAAAAGAATAAAAGGCTCAGATAGTATGGAGAAAATGGATACGATCTTGTGATCATGATATCGACGCCACCCAGCTTTTACTTAGTAAAGGAATTCTTGGGTACTGATTCATCTCAATGAAAAGCATGTGTCGCGTTAGGCTCGATTGGCAAAGCTCTTAGCTAGTTGTCTCGCTGCGACGTACCGTTTATGTCCCCTCTTTCTCTCTCTCTTTTCTCCACATATTTACCTCTTATTCATCATCGAATTTTCAGGAGCAACTGCGCTTAAAAGTCATGCCGATGCAGTCAGAGCTGACCCAAGCAAGCTACCACCCGGAAACTGCGCGAGTAGTCAGGCTTTATCTTCCCATCCCAGCTTCGCAGTTACGAAACTTTGACAGAATTTCTCGGTTTCAACTCCACTATTACCAGCACGAAGAGTTCCGCTGACGTTTAATTCTCAGAAAAGAAGAGCATTTCCAAAAACTTCCAGTTTCAAGAGGAGCTGCCTGTCACACTTGCAATGGGAAGTATCGAAAACAGCATGGTGAACCAAGCCCGATTTTAGTTTAGGAAGTTGTTAACAGGTTCGCAGGTGTAGCACTGTTGGCTTGCAGAGGGACTTCCCTTCCATAAGCGATCATTGAAAGGACCAAACCCCTCTCAAACTATTCGCCACGACGATTCTGAATAGAAATTCTATGCATGGCGCATCCTTAAAAAGAATTGATTAACGCCGAGTACGAATTCGGTCCTTTCTTCGGTGATTCTTCGTGAAGATATTTCAGAACACAACTGGATTTTTCGGTGGCCATCGATTTGACCAAGTCTAACGGTGACCCACGGAAGCCAGAATCGCTGCATTATATCCTCGACCCGGATAAACCGTCACCTTACGAATTAGCGATCAAGTCAGTTATTCATGAAATTTTACCAATAATATATGAAAAAGCGTCGACAAATCAAATCTCACAAGAAGCCATCGAAACTTTTCGCTAGAAGAATCCGTCCTCTTTGCTCCTTAACTCCTTGGGTTGTTATGTGTATGAAACTACCGCTGAAATTCGATTTACTCTCAAATTGTCTCGAAATCATCCAATTCATGTACAACATTCCCTTCAGGTGGTATGAACCTCTTTTTCGTGGAAGTCGACAACAATCCATTACCATAGAAAAAGTGAGTGGATAGAAAAATAGGGCACTGATTGGTCGTGCCATCGTAAAACGCCTTCGAGCCTGAGGGCGAACTCTGATGATCAGAAACAAATGTTCCCTAAAAAACTGAATAGTGATCGCCAGTCCGATCCTACGGCGCATAGGTGGCGTCGAAAGTGTGGCGCGTTAGAAAAAACGCTCCCCTAATCCTTTTCATAGGAGCTTCACACTTCGAGTTTGCCCTTTTTCAGTGGTATTTATTCATTCGACTTTGCAAAGGATAGGATAGAAAATCCGAGAAATTCACTGGAAACATTCTTTTCAGAGCTGTTGTAGATATCTGCCAGTTCTATAGTCGAAAGCAGCTGTTCAATGCATATGGATTTGGTGCCATCGTTCCGGGCCACACAAAAGTTTCACCGGTTTTCAACTTGGTACGGCTGTTACAATCAATTGTTATAGCGGATTTTCTGCAGCCATGGTCCAGTTGGTCTCAATTAGACTCGGATGAAGTAGTTGCCAAAGGACAGCCCACACCAAAAAACAGCTAATGCTCGGAAAATGTAAAAAAATGGTTGTTTTTGAACGCGAATTCTTCCTAAAACAGGTATCAATGAAAAATTTGCAGATATAGTAGAGTTGAGAGCAGTGTGGTGATAGGTGGGGGGATGGGATAACGCCAAAAGCTGCCGCTCTGCGTATGTGGTCCGGGATCGCCTAGCTCTATCAAGTCTTGTCACTAAAATTGCACCAACTTTATCTAGGAGGATAGAACAGAAACCTGTAAATGAATTGACCACCTCAACTTACTAGTAAGAAGTCGAAAAAATTATCCTCTGAGTTTTTTCACCTACAGAATCTCTCATCGAGCTGTGTGGTGCATCGTCTTGATGGGGTACTGAATGCATACCACAAATGTGTACCAGTTGTTCGTCTCTATGGTCCAACCAACTTTGCCCCTGTAATAACGGAAGCTGCACGAAGAGCTGCCAAAGTACGTGACGGCTCCCACTATCAGGTAAGCTCATTCTTCATGACTTTAGGAAAACGGGTACGATTACTTAATTCGACAAAAATAATTCTGTTATGATCACCTGTATGGCCTGTCATCCCTTTGATCATCATTTTCCTTGTGCGGGCGGCAGTAACGCCTCCATTCGTCCCTGTCGCAAGCCTCCGTAATACAGTGGATCACCCTTGCTCCAGGAGCATGAGGCATAGCATTACTTTCGTTTAGAGCTGAATAATGAATTATACCAAACAGAGATTTAATGCAGACCATCTCTTCTAAACATGAACTTCGGGATGGGATTTTCGCGGTCGGCAAAACGATTTTTCAGTGTTTTGAGGGTGGCTAGTGAGTCAGGACGCGGGGATGAAGGACGAGAGGATGGAAAGAGGATACAGGAAAGGAAAAGGACCATATCTCAAGATTTTTTCTCCCTTTTTTACCCGGTTCATTTATACTTGTGGCTGATTACACACTTACTCACCTGATTGCTCTCCGAAAGTATGTTATGACTAAATTTGGTTAACTTTGCTGTTTAGATCTTCCTGATCATCACCGATGGGGCGATCTCTGATATGTCAAATACGAAACGGGCCATCATAAATGTAAGTAAGCTCGAGACAGATTCCCTGGACTAGAACTGCTTTACCGTTCCGTTGTGCGAAAGCCATCATAAAGGACTGCCATATGAGCAAAACATCTGGCCTCGGACGAATCTCGAACCCGGTCATAATTGTGATACTGTACTTCCTCGACAACGTTACCAAGACCTTACATCTCCTGAACGTTTTGGTACTGGAACATTTGGGTTTGCGATTGAGAAAGAAGGAATGCCTGGCCCAGCAAATTAAATGACAAGATAAAAAAACGTTAGTTCGAGTCCCGAATGTGGCCAAAGGTTTTGCATCGAACTCAGCATCATTGCGATGACATCCCTTAATTCGAAGAATATAATATTTTAAGGCTTCCTACTTGCCTCTATCAATAATTATTGTCGGCGTAGGCGATGAAGACTTCAGCAGTATGAACGAACTAGATTCCGACGATATGATGCTTTCCCATGATGGCAAAACTGCTCAGCGAGATATTGTTCAGGTAAATGGGTACAATTCCTGAAAATATCATGTGATTAAATGTGATCACCCACCTTCTTCCTTTGTGGGCACCTGAATAAAGGCTTCGAGTGCAGACCCCCGAAAGTGATCTAAGGGATGTAAAAATAGTGGAAAACTGAATTTGAAAATTTCTCAACCGTTTTCTTTGCAGTTCGTCGCTTTACGTGACTTCTATTGCGGTTCATTTGAAATTGAAAATGAACACATAATGAATATGTTGGCGAAAGAGGTACTGGCCGAAGTACCGCAGCAACTCGTCTCTTATATGGAACGAAACGGTGTCGTACCTATGGAAGGTACGGATTAAAACTTCCCGTTCAGTTCGCTAAGATAGAGGCTAAACTTAAAGGCACAGTTCACGATAAAAATGGTTTCTGAGTTCTCCCTGTAGGAATAACCAGTGCCCTCAGGGGTAACAGGAAAGACGCTTTCGACCTGAAAACTCAACAGCTAGGGCATAGGGGAAGCCCGTTACCGGATCGTCTAGAACCCCCACACGATCAACTAATCGCCCAGTAATGAGGCGATGTTTTTCTTCTATTCTTTTATTCTCTGATATTCTTTTTTTGCTGCTGCAATCCCTTATTTGATTTTCTACCCCAAGAGGCTAAAAAGGTGGGCTATTATTGCTGTTGCTAGGGTTTTGTTTGCTAACTTATGCATACGAGTGAATGAACTCTTGCTTTCTGTAGTCAGCTATTCGCACCAGGACCCACACGTACAACGACACACACACGCCCCATTCGCCTTCATTTTCTGGTCTCATTCTCGTCCAGCCTCCTTTTTGAAGACTTTCGAAGCATTTTTTCACTTTGGAAACACCTATTCACGCAGTTTCTTCAACTTCATCGCACTATTTTCGATCTTCTCTTCCATGTTTCGTCATAATCTGGATTACCTTAAATTATCGTGAACTGAGCCTTTAGGGAAGGGATCGAAGGGAAGATAACGGGCCATGATATTGACGGGTGACAACTACTGGAGCTGTGGGCTTGATGAGTGTGTTGATGTCTTTGCTTGTTGAAGGAGCAGTTTACACTGCTTTCAAGCTCTGACATTCTGATGTCTCCAGGGATTGAACGTTTCTCTTACAGCAGTACCCAAAACTCGTCTAGAGTACACAAAGGAAATGGAGATGTTCATGCAAGAGCCCGGATCTGCGCCACTTCCTTTTCTCAGGGATCAACCAGAACGCTGAATGCTTTGCAGGGCAAAAGAAAACTCGTTATGAACCTCAAAAAGGCTACTGGTATCGTCAGAAAGACGTTGTTGTTCTTCTGAGACGCTAAGGAATCCAGTCAATGAGAAGACGATGATCTCTGTTTATATACATTTCAGCTTGTAAAAACGAGAACTTACCCATTGAGTAATGTGGGAGATGAACGCATATTATTTCAGAGACCCAAGAACGAAATTACAGTTGGCGCCCAAATTCCTACCATAACACCAGTCGTAAGAAATTGCTGTACAAAAAAGTGTGTTGTTCTGCGGCTAATATGTACATGTCACTTTACGGCAGATAGCATAAAACATCAGTAGGAAATTGGACATGGCCAAGTTTTTGTGCTTGTTTCATTGGAAGCTATTTTACATATGAGCTTGTATATGAACCACTGCTCAGAATAAAGAAATTTGTTCGTTTTCGATACGTTCACGCATTTCCCCACGTGAGACAACTCGTCCACACCCTTCGGTTTCATAAAAGCAAATGACCCAAATACTTGTTTGCATGATCGTTTGCATAATTTTGATGATTAGTCCTCAATTTTCCCCATGAAAAGTTCCACCATTGTTCATCGTTTGGTATGGGAGTCATCAAGTACGGGGTATTCATAGCCAAATGGGCATGCTTGAACGAAAAACAGTTCCCTTCCCTTCCAGCTGTCTCACAAAATACCATTCTGGCATGTGAGTAATCTGCGCAAGTCGATCAGTCGGAAAGATAGCTCAACGGCACCTGGCAAATAGCAATGGAGAACCAGTTATCGGTAAGAGCTGCTATTTTTGGGACATAAGTTCTTCTAACCGAACGGATGCCGCGCCCATCGCTGCCTGAACGCGCGCTGTGCAGGAGAGATTAGGACCCCCATGGGAAGATTACGGTAACTCCGCGAAACCAGCTCCCGGTTGCCGTGGGAATACAGGAAGAAAACTGTTACCGCCAATTTTAAAAGCGCATCATTGAGCATTTCTTCTACAATCACTCTTGGGTGGTGGTAATTTGTGACTAACACTAGACTTTTACCCTACACAGGAAACGTGGAACTTAAAAATCAACAGAATACTAAATTTGGCTTTAAATAGCGGTATCCCAAACCGAAAACGGTAAATGAAAAGCATTCGCTTGAATCCTCTACAGCGAGTTAATGTAGATTAATTTATTGCAAAATAGAAAAACTCATATAGTATTAATCAGATTTCAAAGTTAGTGGTTCTTGGGAAAAACTGATCTAATTATAAACTGTGAATCTTAGCTGTAACACATGCTTATAACGTGCGGCAAAGTATGTACACAAACTCCCACGAACAAGCACACGCTAGCGGCAAGTCTCAGATAGAGGTTTCGCGACATTAAACTTCAATAATCACAACCACTTAATGTAAACCCGTTCCATTCATTCAAATCTAACATATACATAACGCGCTCCAATCACCCATCGAGTTCTGCGGCAAGTGTTGGTTGCGGCAAGCGCGGCAAGCCGCTCGAGCATAAATCCTTACTGCCGATTATGGCGAGATCGGTTTTGTTCTGACTTCTGAAATGATTAATGCATCACAAAACTCAAACTCAGAACATACTCTTATTCAAAATGGTAAATGATCATCCCCTATATATAGATATATGTAAAAATTACTGATTCTCTTACAAAACTAGAAAAAACAATTGCTGAGGACAGCCTCTTCGGTGTAAAAAGCTTATGTACAGCGGCTAGAACGGCATGGTAAACTAACCTCAAAACAAAGTTAAAACTTTCAACAAGCTTGATTAACTGCTACAGTGAAATGTTAATGGCAGTGAAAGAGTTCAGCAAAGTAAAACATCCGTACTGTGTGTAAATCAGTTCAAGGCAAAGGAGACAGGTAGCAGTTGAAGGAAATCGAAATACAAAGAGAAAAAAGGAAAAAATTAGAAATAAGATAGCTTTCTCTAAATTTGAGTTCCAGGGTAACCACCTTCAATACTCTCTTCGATCTCCTTAGTCTTGTTTACTCCCAAGCCAACCAGCCGGAACAGGGCAAGGGTCAGTTCCAGGCCGAAGAAACATGCGGCATTAGCTGGGAAGGCACGAAGCATTACTGGAGTGAAACCCTGAAAGAAAAAATAATGAATGAGAGAGTAATAAAATGTATCTCAGAAAGTCAGTGAGGTGGAAATATAGTCGGGAGGAGAGCACGCGCGTTATCGCGCATCTGTCTGCGCTCTCTTCTCTCTTAGCGAGACAGCGTTCAACTGCCCTGCGCTACAACTTTTTATAAGACCTTGACATACCACCTACCCCAACACGCCTCCGCATTTTTCGCTTAGAAGTTCGAGTTCTCATTCGAGCACGCTTTTTTTCAAGGATTCCATTCTTTTTAGCTAACTAAAGGGTGGAGACGCAGAGGTCACTAACAAAGGAGTTCCCTACTTCGTCCATTCCCCATGCATCGACCGCAGGAATCATGGACCCTGTGCATTCATAAAGATCACCCTTCGAGAGATACGACTCAGAAAAGAGTCCTACGAATCCCTTTTAATGATATAACCCCAAACACCTTACCTTGAACAGTGCTCTCGGGCCCTCTTCTCGCATCACTTCCCTGAATACGCCTCGTATTCCATCTGGATATTTACCTTCTGGAGCAGTTTGAAGGCGTGATTTTAGCACATCCGCAGGAATACAAACTGACCTGAATAGGGAAAGGTGGTAAATCATGATAGCGAACATTTCCTGCATAGCAGGTGAAAGCGAATGGTTAATATTGGTGGATCACTGGACTAACCACCATGGCGGTGTGGTGTATGGATGAAAATGAGAATTTGAGGGAGTGAGGGTAGCGGATGATATGGCACATTTACAGAACCCGTACCAATTTGCGATTCCTGCGAGTCCACCGGCCAACAATGTTGCTCCAGGTGACAATGTACGTTGAGCACCTTCACCAGAAAACTTCTTTTTGAGGAACTCGTACACTGAGAGGTACGCTGCACTTGCTGGTATATCTGAAAGTAGACAATCGGGTCAGCTTAACATAGCGTTCTACCTTTTACAGTCAGAGTAACCGTTCAAACCTTAATTATCAGTAAATCCCAACAAAGCAACTTTAAAAATAATTGAGTCCTTCAAAAATGTACTGAGAAATCTGCTAAAAGTAATCTCTGGTAACTTGCCTCTCAAAAGGGTCGCGCCCGTTCCTCTGTAGATACTGGTGAGTCCACCTTGTTTGTACAGCTTCTTCACCACATCCAATGGGCCATTGTAATGAACTCCTGATGGTGCAGTACCATGAGATTGTACCTTGAAGACAGTTCTCAATAAAAAGTTGCAAATATAAGATATGCACAATAGAACCTGCAGCAGGCACTTGATTCGCTCGCCCGGTACCATGACGATGGTCGTGAAAACACCGGCTAGGGCACCACTGTTCACGTTCTGGATGAATGTCATTTCCTGGTCTAACGAAATAAATATTTACTCTTGAACTAAATTCCATAAATAGTTTCTAGAGCAGTTTTGCAGGACCCCACATTTCAAAAATTTGAGCTGCCGGAAAACTGGACCTCGGGAGACCTTCGAAGAGAATATCTACGGAACAAAAAGCTCAGCACAGATCCTCAAAAGTGAGGTCCTAGGAGGCATAAAGCCTTCAAAAAAAAAAAGAGAAATCAGGAGATTACCTGGATGTGTCGTCTGCAAATGTCTACCAACAGCACAGCCGGCGAAGAAAATCGCAAATAGGGGACTTACTCCAGCTAAAGGAGCAGCCATACCCTGAATGGGAATGTTACAGTAATGGTACTCGAGTAATGGTTTTCAGCCAAATTCCACAGTCTACTCAAGAAATAATTTTTTGAAGCGTACCTTATATAGAGCGAAAAAACCTTCTTTGGCGATCGTTTGTTTGACACAGTCCAGTGCGCCTCTGAACAACGGTGGCTCTCCAGGCTTTGGTCGAGGCATCGTTTGTAGCCGAACCTGGAAGGACCGAAATTTTTGAAAACTCAATCAATTTCTTCTCCCCCGTCCCCAAAAATTCTCATAAAATAAGGGAAGGAGCAGCGATTGAAAGTGCTGATCCTCATCTGTACAAAAGAGACCTTGGATCATGACCAGCTCCTTTTAAAAGGTTTCTGTTCTATGTCTTTACTCTTCACCAACTGCCATGGTACTCCGAACCTTACGTGCTTTTTTATAGAATATGTGATTCGTTCAGATAACGTCAACCTTACAAAAGAGCTACTGGTAGTTCAATGCTACCTGGCGGTCCTGTGCAAACTGACTGGCTTCTCCACTCTTATCGCCTCGCTGTGACCCAACGCAGGAATCAACCATATCCCTTCAGACATGTACCTATTCTAAGCCTTCCTACCACCTCGCAAAATCTCTACTATCGATGGGAGCCACATGACCTTCTTTCTGACGTGTTCATTCAGCAGAGATCAACATACGGCACTTTCTCCGACACCAGCGATAACGCCTATACTTATTTGTGTAGGCTTATCATCTTCAGTCGCTATCACTGGGATGCTAAACAGAGGCATACTACAAAGATGTCTCCCTAGTGACGTATTTCGAAGCTTGCTCGCAGAATCCCTGATAAGGGCCCTGAATAACTCGACAGACTGTCAGTTATACTCTTCAGTTGACCCTGGGCCTGCTCAGAATGTTTTGCACTTGTAAACATTCAGATCATCAGAGAAAAAATCCAAAAATTCGTATAACTACAATCTAGACCTCAACGATATCCACGAGGAAAAAGACGGAATATCCCCCGGAAAGCGAAAATCGAAAAACGGAAACTTTTTTTCAAACGTACCTTCACGGTGTCGAACGGATGACCAACGATCACCGTACATGAGCCACCGACACCACCAGCAATAAAATTTAGGATTACGTCAGACATTTTGCAGAATTGGCCTGGAAAAATTCGGCTTTTATAGATTTCAAGTAATCTTGAAATGTTAGCGCATACGGAAACATTGATGAGCATGGAAAAGGATAAAATGGCTCATTCAAATTCCGATTATCAGACGAAAATAGCTGAAAACGGACCCAAAGCATTAGACGGAGCGGAACGGAGGGCACGCTCAAGACTAATCATAAGGTGGGTTTTGTAGGGTGGCACCTCGACCACATGTAAGTCTCACCGAGCTTTAAAAACTTTATCGATTCCCATCCAGAACGACCCCCTCCGGAATTTCCATATAACTATAGATAGGATTGTTATAAACCTTCAGGCCGGGGGTAATTCCTAGATTTTTTGGAGTTCTGCTAGAGTAGCAGCAGACAGACTCATCTTTCAATTTCAGAAGCTCCCTATGGCCTGAAGAACTCACCTCAGTGATGAAAGACCGATCGTAGCGATAAAATGTAGTCCCTCGTAATTGAATCCTGACTCCGATCACCTTCAGACACCATGTACACAAGGAAGGCGATCTACTAATTCTAATCAACGATTGGGTGTTCCAGTAATAGCTTGATCCATATGTTTTCGGGCGTTTTTCTCAGCCCCTTGAGGCCGACCTATACACTTGATCACCTGATCTGCCATCTATCCCATACAAACATATTACCCTACGACAGGAACAGCCACTCTCCTACTGCAACTCTAGTAAGATGTAATCGGTATCGAGCTGTTCAGGGGTTCTATCAATCCTCAACTCAGCACAACATAAAAGTTCAGAAGCCAACCCACCCCTTCTTATGAGACCATTTTACAAGACAATCGGAAAATTTAAAATCGAAGACCCCATTTCAAGCTATGAGATACTTCAAGGAGTTTAGCCCATGTCCCTTCCCTTCATATTTTCGAGGCAAAAAACTCAAGGTCCATATTGTGGCCCTCAAATTCGATGCAGTGGCCATGCAAAAGTAGTAACAACAAGATTCACTCAAGTCTTATCGATCTTCGAAGACCACCTCGGCCTTCCAAAATATTGATTACTACACTGTAGCCGTGGCAGAGGCATGTAAACAACGAAAAAGTCAACAGAAACAGCCAGTAAAAAACTAGTCCAGTAGAAAGAATCATTCAAAGATATCGCAAAGGCAAACTGAAAAGACCTATAAGTTAGGAATGCCAACCACTGAGCATAAGAAAAACTCGGCGAAGTGGCCGCAACAGGCCATGACCCTCCATGCGACTGGATGGACTTTGTACCCTCAACCGGTTATTGGCCTGCATCGCACATAAATAGGACTACACTAGACACTATTGACGATATCAGGCCAACATTCCTCCCCATATGGCCGAAAATCAAGACTATACTACTCTGAAGAAACCTAAAGCCATCCAGAAGGCTTTGAAGAACCTATTGATATGAAAGAGTAACTCGAGTAAAACATAAAGTTAGGTAAAAACCGAGAAGTCAGGAGAGGTTGACCTGAAGGCCAGTGCCAGATCGATACTTTAACGAGGGTTTTTAAGGTTGTTTGTTAAATAGACAAATGAGGCAGTGGCAAATGGCGCTGTTACAAGGCGAATGATTAATGGGGAATCGAACCCCAGATCTGTTCGAGAATATTCGACTGGCATTATATTCAGCTGTGAGAAAATGCAACAGTTTGGCTTGCACATCGATCGTCCACAAATTATAGTGAAGGAAAAATGTGCCTTCAGATTCCTCTGTGATTCAGCATAAAAACCAAAATCTCAAGAGGAAATCGATGAATGTCTAAGTTCTTGATCAAATTGCAAGTAAAAGAAAGATTCCAGGCCTCAAGAATCAGAGAAATGAATCTCCCAACGAAATCTTTCAATTGAAATACCCCAAATTTCCTCCCATTGCTAGTTTCCATCAGGAAAGGAAAGGCACAGACATTTTGCAGAGTAGCTTTGACCATCTAAAAAAGCGATTTAGACGTATTGCATTCACTTTCGACTTCAACTGAAGACCACCGCTTCGGATCGCCTCCTTCCGTAACGTCCGAATCTATTTTTGTTCCCCATATGATTTACATACATTTTACATTTACTTTACATTTACATTTTATAGTTCGTTCGGCATCGATTGCTGTGGGAACACAACTTTTTTGACAGCTGAGGCTCCTTAATTTGAAGAAGCAACGGCTGGAAAAAGAATCCTGCGTAGATCGACCTGTTGGGATACGCCATGAATCCCACTTCCATCCAAAAAGGATACTTCATTGACCTCGATACTCCTCCAACTGTTCTTTAAGACAGCGGACCTACCGCTTTCATAGGACAATTAAGACTCCAAGACACCGAAAGCCCAAAACTTGGACATAGAGTTCCAGGTTCAAACTGGAAGCCATATGAACATTCTTGAAGTACGTCAATCGATTCCATATTTAAAGAAGGATGGGAAAATTCAAGACCATCCAAGCCCTTACAGTTTCGCCTGTTCCACTAGCAATGAACGACCTTCAACGGATTGAAGCTGTGATTGAAGTAGTTGGGAAACAAGATTTCAAGTGGAAATAGGCAAATAATGAAGTACATACTTAGTTCTGCCTCAACCGCATTTGCTAATTGGCTAATTGGTACCAGGATAGCACGGCTCTTTAATACTGAGAAGATTAAGGCGCTGACTTGTACAGATGCTGGCCACTGCAGTTTATTGTGTAGGCCACTCTCGTATTCAAAAATGCCATTACGACTTAGATTGGAAGTCGAGTGTGGAAGC